AGAGAGAGAGAGAGAGGGAGGTGGCAGGGAGGGAGAGAGCAAGTGGGGGGTGGATTATGTTCCTTTCAGAAATTATCAAAATCTCCCCACCCTTTCCTGTTATATACTAACATATACATCTCGTCCTCCTTATTACATTACAAGTGCATACAGTAGTGGTCATGTTCAGCTTTTTTTGCACTTTCTTTCCAATGTCAGAGACCTTTCTGGAATTATATTTGCCATGGTAACAAATACAAATGTATATGTGCCTCCATCAGCCTCGCCACTGCAATGCCATTTGCGACAATAAACGCACAGCCGTGGGATTTCTCCTGCTTAGATTCTGTATGAGCTTATGACTTATGAATATCTCCTGTACAAACCTGATTCTGCAGCTGAGTGCTTCACCTGAGATACTCAAATTACAGAAACACACAGGACATGTCAAAGTTAATGAGTTGTATTTAAAATAAATCAATCAGTGAAGGAATTAAGCGAGCGATCTCCTGACAGCGCTTCAGAAATGTGAGTCTATTATTAGTCAGTTTATTACAGATATGTATTGCATTGCCTCTACAAGGGGGCTAATCCAGTCTTTTATAAGACTTCTAGATTACATTTCAGCAGCTATCAGATATTAACTGACTTCATGGACCACTTCACATGTTGAAGTGTGAGGGCAGTGAAGGCTATTGCTCACCAGTTGTTTGAATTGGAAGAGTAATCATCTGGATAATTAGGAGGAGGAGGGGGAGGACTCACTTTTGCAGGAATGCACGTCGACCAGCCGTCAGCTGCTAATAATGCAATCCATCGCTCCACTCAGCCAGTCAGGATTTTCCATCTTTCAAAAGATCACAACTGAGTCCTTCGTCCTTCTACTCAACACTTGATCCTGCCATTCCAGACATGATTGAGTTCTGTAAAGTGGATTCTGCTGGATTAATACAGGCTATTTGGTGTGTATTAAATGATGTTGTATGCAAAAAGTAACTTTGCAACTACTGTAGTTAAAATACTTCAGTAGCCTGTGAAGTATTCTGTAGTCTGCACTCATATGCAAGCCTAAAATTCAGTGAGATACTTTTAATTTTAACTGAATAAGTTAGAGGAGTGTCTCATATTATAAACACGAAGGTATCTGCAATGCTATTCTGTCCACACAGCACATCATGACACTGCAAGGATACATACGCACATACAGTGTGTGTAAAGAAAAAACGAAATTGAAAGTCAAGGACCTGCACATGAGGATTGGAGGAGGTTGGCGGTAGGTAGAGTGAATTCCTCTCTTATCTAGAGTCCCACTGTCTCCTGTGTTATCTGACGTTGCCTTGCTGCCACGGACAGATGCAACATGAACACGATATTCACAGAGCGCTCACAGGATTTGGGATGTTAACGTAACAAATGCTCTGATGGTATTTGTGCGACCTTTAAAAAGAAGCAGGACGTACACAACATGTGCTGTGTGCAGAGTGCCTGGCAGTATAGAGACATGACAGAGCACACAGACATATCCACTGGCCTGTGCTGGAATTCGGGGCTATATGAGGCCAAAATCTGCTTTGCCATCAGCAGCCTGTTGTTCTGATTAATCTTGGCACGGAGGGCAGAAATCACCTGCCGTCTTGTGTTCCCATCAGCTTGCGAGCTACAGCACTAGTCTGTTTCCACATATCAGGAGAATGTTCCAACACACTCGCCAGACCAACGGGGGCTCTCTTTTCCACACTGCCCCTGGGTTATTCATTTTCCCCCCCTCCAGCCTGCACAGTTTCGTCCTCCTCCCTGCCTCCCCAGCTCAGGTCTATCCCAGCTGGCTGTGGAAGTCTCCCTGCTGCCACTTCTGCTTTCAACATAGCAACCGGGAATCCACATAAACCCTGTGGTGGGACGCTGCCGGGCCCGGTTGAGTAATACACCGACACACTTAAAGGTTTTTGTTGTATTGTGTCATTTTATGTTCTGGACACACACTGTTAGCAGAAGTATGGTGTGTGTGTGTGTGTGGTGTGGTGTAGTTGGTGTGTTGTGTGGAAAAAAGCGCCGTGTGATTTGGCTGGTTTGGTAAAACCCGAGGCTGTGAGGTCACTAGGAAGGCGCCGGGAAAGTGGCTTAGTTTGTTTTAAAGTTTGAACGGCAAGCTGATGGACAAGGCTGGGTGGACAGCTGATGGACCAGCTGGTGGACCAGCATGTGAGGTTTCCGCCTCGGTAGCCCGCCTAGAGACAGGTAAGCGACGGACTAATCGGATCAGAACAGCTGCATAGATCGATATTGGTGGCTGGAGCTACCACATTAGCGCTAATGAACGCTAGCTCACATTAGCCCCCCTCGGCCACAGCTGGACACATTATAAACTGGTGATATTTAATTTCATTTAATGCACGCTCAAGCTTGTATATTTCGGGTAAAAAAATAATGAATAAAATGTAGCAAGTTAACTTAAAGTAGCTCCTCGTAGACTGTTAGATGTAAACATTGCCCCCCCCCAACGTTACATTTATATCATTGTTATTGTTATTATTATTATTTTATTATTGTATTTCCGTCACAAACAGCTGCAGACACGTCAGGAGATAAACGAGGGCCGCTGGTGGACGTTGTGGATCTTGCTAACGTCCTCACGACGGTCATCCAACGTCCACTGAACGGTTTTACCAACACACCGATCAGTGCAGATAATGTGTATTGATTAAGGCAGCTTCATCAGTGTGTGTGTGTGTGTGTGTGTGTGTGTGTGTGTGTTGATTATTTCCACTTTTGCTGCAGAGAAACATTTAATAAAGTTTAAAGCTGCACAACTAATCCAAATATTATCGACAAATCGAAGTAATGGCCAAGTGCAAAATTCAAATCGCAGAAGCTGTTGTGTTTCATAAAGGTTAAATGTTTGATGATGAAACAGCGTTATAATGAAGTAGTGCTACAAATCTCCAGATTAAAGATAAAAGGTTTGTTTGGTACAGACCCCCCCCCCAAAGATTTATTCAGTATAAATTAAATTTGTGATGAAAAAAATAATCACTCTCACTATTTAGAGAGCCACGGTGCTGATGGCCGATATATAATGCTGATATCAAACAAAGAAAAGTCATGTAGAGTTCTGTTCTTTAGGAAATCCACTCATATGTTTACAGTTGGATGTGTGAACGTTATAGTACACAGCGAGATAATAATGAACCAACACATTAATCGGGCTATCGCTAATTCTCCCACTAATCGTGAATTAGATCGCAGTCACAATATCTGTCAAAATAATCACAACATGATGTGTGTACCTTAATAATAACATCCCATATAATTATACGGGGGTTATATATTATCAAAGCATGTATTAATAGATAAATAGAGTAATGGTTGCGTACAAAAGATCAATAAACCTCTAAAGACAAATAGAAATAATATGGATTACAGTAGGATAAGTTAAATATGTCAATGTTAATGTATTTATTCACAACTGCTGACAACTGTTATTGTTGTATTAAGTTTATATCTGTAGTAATACTAATGGAACATGTTGGATATCAGTTTCACACCAGATTAATTCACACATACTTACACCGAACAGTCCTAAATGTTTCAGAGATTTACTTTACCAAAGGTAAGGTACGTTAAAGGTAAGTTAATTAAACAAATACAATCACGATCCAGTGTTTTCTGAGTATGAAAACAATATTACACAGTTATTATTATCTGTTACAGTTTAAAGGAATGAAAACAAGGCTTTTTTTACGGTATTATGACATCGTTATACCACTGCAACCCTGCACCAGACACCATTATTAAATGAAACAGAAGTGATCTCTCTTTTGTTTTTTGTTCATCTAAAATACGCTGACACGTTTCCAATAATCTGTCTGTTTTATGGCGCCCAAACAAAACAGCACCTTACACACTTTAAAGGGTTATAACTACAAGAGACAGTAGATCGTCTGTAGTTTTACCTTTTTAAAACATCTGTAACAAGATCTTCATCAGTATTAATGTAAAAACTACCTCAGTGCTCTTATTGTAGCCACAAGATAAATGAAAACCCTTATGAGGAAGAATCAGGAGCACACGGATGAGAGGAACTCACGGTAGTTGGTTCGTTGTAATGACGCTGATTCAGCTTCCTCCTAGCCGACACGAACAGCCTGCTGAACTTATCTTAAAGTTCCTTCTTTTCCCACCGTCTCATTGTCTTCATTCAGATGGACGACATCAACGTACTACACCACAGATGCCTCCTGAATTTGAGGCGCCGAATCAGAGATATTGGGGATGGACGTCCAGCACAGGAACGATACATGAGATTGCAGAAGGATGGAGACACACTCAGGTCAGTGACTTGCTTAAATGTTTGACAGAGATTATTTCAAAAGACGCATCTTTGTTAGATTGTGTTTCTCTGCCTACTTCTTATAATGACTTGCACTATTTGTGTGTGCTATTGTTTATTACACATTTATAAAGCCTTGGAATCATTGGATGTAGTTCTTTCTCATTCTTATGGGGCCTTATATAGACTTTATTGATCCTACAATGGGAGAATCTTCTTGTTACAGCACAACAGATTAAAAAATACACATTAAATAAAAAGGAAGAATATGAGTTATATGTACACTGTATAAACCTTTTTATACAGAGATGTGATTGATGGGAAAAGGAAAGCCTCTTACCCTCTTTTTCCCAAATTAAATCTGTATCCAGTCCACTTAACAAAGTCAGTATCTGCACTGATACGATCTGAGGGACCGGATTGGTGCATTCCTAGCTAGGGCTAGGCAGTCTTTGGGCCCATGAGAAGAACAAGTGAGTTTATACCCTTTTTATTATATTCTTTCTCCTCTGTTTTCTCAAATAATAACACTAATTCATAACAGAGGTAAAAGATGGAACACGGACAGCTCGAGGAGCATAGTGTCTGTATTTGTTTTACCTTCCGCATTCAAAGGGTCTGCTTCTTTTCTCAGAACCACCGAATACAAAAAATGCCTTAAAAACAATCAATGGTGGCTCGTCTAGGTCAGTAAGACGTGAAACACACAGGAACATCTCTTTTGTTTGAATGTAAACCTCAGAGGTCTGACCTCACCATGTAGTTCTCATGGTTCCCACGCACCCTGGAAAACCTGGAAATTAGAGAATAGTTTTTTATAGTCTTGGAAAAACACCTGCAAATTGATTAAAAGGACCAAATATCCTGGAAATAATAAGTGTTGTCCTGCACGCTGTGATACTTCAAAGGCTCATAGTGATCTTTTGGGCGTCGAGTCATCAATGTTACAGAGAAGAAAAGCCAAGACCGGCACGAAAGCGAACTAACACAGATTGTCCCGTAAACACTGACCACCTACCTGTAATGAACCTGAGACGATTCATTAAGGAGGAATAAACCTGAGGGTTGAATGTGTCAGTACTGGGCCTACCATTAAATTATATGACCGTTTGGGAGCAAGTGCTGTCCTGTAAGAAAACTCCTGGAAAACGATTTCTTATAAACAGTAGGTTCCCTGAGTTTTGTTCTATTGTAATAACCTGTGAATGTCATTACTTTTTCTGAAGATGTTGGTTTGATTCAGCTGCTTCAAACTGTGTAAAACAACTTTACATTGCTGATAGGAAGCTTCATAAGCTCCAGCAGTTCTCAGGAAAACCTTGCACATCTCCAGTTCCCCCTTCATTTTACAAAACGTCCCTTCTCATATATAGCTGCCGATCATCATATCTTATAAAACAGTAATAGCCAATAATCATGTTCATTTAATTTGATGTATCTTTCCATAATCATCCGGCTTAAACAGCGGTTCTGTTTTCCGTGGCACATGTCGGTGCATGTGATTACACTGATGGCGTCCTTTGATCAACAGATGGGGTTGTTCTTCGAGATGTGTTTCTGATTGTGCATACAGCAGTCTGACCTAATAGAAGTCACCTAACCTGTAATTTTTTCTCTTTAGTTACCAAGGGAACTCTGAAGAGGTGGGTTGCTATGTGGCTGGCCATCCTTTATCAAAGGGAAATTGCTACTTTGAGGTAAGGCTCATTCATAGCGTAGCTGTAAATCAGCATCTCACATTGTTATTGTGACTAAGTCCTGTTAGCTCTCCAAGATAATCTCTGTGCATCATTAGTCAACATGATCTCCACCAACTGCTACCTGTGTTACTGTTGGATATATGGTAATCATTTGAAAGTAAGCAGACTGTTGATCCTTTGCACAATTATTCATTTTTAAAAGTCGGGGGGTGGGCGGGAGATTATTCACAATATGATAGGCTTACCACATACCATCGTCCCAAGATTGCTTTACCATCCAGCCAGCAATTTTATCCCCTGGAATCCCATTGCTGACAATTTTCTCAACTTCATATTAAATTCTGTGTGCCCCCCTACAGTCCCAGTTCAACAGTGCAAAACCACTACCTCAAAAATGTCCTAGCTGCATTGGAATGAGGGCTCGGGGGTGGGTTAGGTGGTATCTTTGAGCACAAAGATTAGTCTAACACACTGTGTTTTTCAGCAGACTGGCAGGCAGACTGACAGCAGGAGAAACTATTGGACGTTCATTTAGCTGATCTGAGGTGCCCCTGTGTATCAGAGAGTTTTCATACATACAGAAGAGCACGAGGGGGAAGAAAAAAAAGTATCTTGGTGATTTAGCACAGGAAAGTTGCAAGAGTTCAGTCATAAATTATGTGCAGAGGGCTGCAGTGTGTTATTTATGAGCCTGCTTGTTTGTGGATGGTGCACGTCAGAGCAGGCCTTGTGACGTGTGGTTAAGAGACGGCAGGTGAGGCAGACATACTTCCTTGTCTGGGTTTTTGGGCTTCAGGAGGAAGCGTTGGGCTATACATTATCCTGTGAAACCTACGTCATTCTGCTGAGCTGCAAATAGAGCCAGACAGGACCCTGCAGCATCAGAGTCTCGTGGCTTATAGCGAGCTCTCCTGTAAAAGATTTACTTCTTCCGCTATTCTTTTCACATTTTTTTTTAGATGAGAAGCACCACTTTGGACATACGTTGAAACATTTCAGATCAGCTTCAGTTGCCGAACAGGCCGATAATGTGCTTTGACATTATTTGTTGTGGCTGTGAGGTGTCCCTGATTTGTGCCAGATGTGACATTTCTTTTAAATGTAATGGCAAACTCTCATCTGACCTCCAGATCTCTGTCTCTCTCTCTCTCTCTCTCTCCTCCCTAGCAAGGAAAGCTTAAAGATAACAATGTTTGTATTTAATGAGAATAACATTTGGAGCCTGATAGATCTCTCTGACATTTAAACAAGTGGATTTTACTGTGGTCATTACCCAGAGTTTTATGCTACATTATTCTCCACTCTGTGACGCACATGCTGTCAGTTTCCAAGATATCTCTAAAATTCGGGAGCATTCTGACAAAGGTCAGGTTTCTGTCGACGTATGCGTCACTGCTACCCTCGTGTTTCTCATCGTTCTCCTTTCACAAGGAATCCGCTCTAGCTCTCTCACTGCTGCTGCACTTTCTCCAGTTCTTCGTCATCCGTCTTCTTCAAGCCGAGCTGAACATCTGCAACATTCCACTTGTTTTAATAGATTTATTTGAAATTCATATCAGCATAACTTAACGGCTCATCAGCAGGCAGATTCCTGCTCTTTCCTCAGCTCACATGTTTTTGTAACTTTTAGTTATATCACACAGACACAAATAATATCGAAACGGTTTTAAGTGTGGAAGTGGGAACCTGTCAGGGCCAAGAATTTAGTTTTTAACGAAGCAGGGCTATAGAGTATTGTCCTTAAAGTGCCAGACTGGAAAGGATTCGGGTCTGGAATTTTTTAGTCTTGGAAACCCAGGAAGTTTGGTTTTACATGTGCTGGTAGCCTCCATGCAGGAGCAGTGATTTGGGGGTCTGGGCTGAAGAGGGAGGTAGAGAATGAGGGAGACAGGTAAGTGGGGAAGAGGGTAAAATACATGCAAGGAATTATAGAGAGGAAGGAAATTTAGAGGGATGAGAAAGGACTTGGAGTTGTCAACGATAAAGGAGAGGAACAAATTCAGACTCTCACCGGATGGGGCTATTCTCCTGTGTTTGGCTGCATTACCTTTCACCTAATTCTGCTTGGTAGTGTGTGTGTCATTCTGCACTGATTGGGTTTAGATAGCAGGCTGGCGTTATGTCTGCAGGGAGGGGTGGTTGTGGAGGTTTCCCCCGCTCTGCTCTAGGGATGTAACATTTAATGCTACGATGATTGTGGCCAAAAATATCACAGTAAACGATGTTATCACATTAGGATAATCGTGAATATCCTCACGAAAGCTCGCTAACCTGCAGTCTTATATTGATTTCCAAAATCCTACGCCTGTCACCCCGACTGAAGGCTCGACTTGCCCATTGTATCCTGGATGTTCCAGTATGTTTTAGTGCCATTTTAAGATCAAGTATATTTTGATTGTCAGTATAATATTATGAATTGCAATTATTTTGGCCAAGATAATCCTGCCATTAAAGTTTCATATTGTCCCTTGCCTATTTATCCTGGCTTTATTTATGACAGTTTCGACCTCCAGTGTTTTATACGGTGAAATCCATGAATTGAATCTTATTGTGCAGAATTCCTGAGGGCTTTTTTTGTGGGTAATGAACCCACCTGCCTATCGGACTGCACAGTAGGGCTGCACAAATAATCGCAATATTATTGAAAGCACAATACGGCCGAGTGCAATATCCAAATCGCAAGAGGCTCCAACTTTTTGATGACGGTAAAATGTGACAAACATACAAAAGTACTGTAGTGCTGCAGAGATTCCCTGAGCTACAAATCTTGTTCTCCAGATGTAAGAAAGCATTTTTGTTTGTTTGTTTGTTTGTTTGGTACAGAACCCAACAAATGTCCCATCGTTTTTCTTCCGGAGAAACTTTGTGATGCAAAAATGAGAATTCCCGCTAATGAATCATATCGCAATCAATTTGTCAAAATAATTGTGATATGATTTTTTTTATTTTCTACCATATTGTGGATCCCTTCCCCACAGCTCAGTTGTATAATGCTGTGTTCACAGTGTCCCCTAAAAACGCTGTTAATCACAGTAATGATGTTTATAGGAATTATTGGCGTCAGAATGCTGCACCATGGTATGTAGTAAAACGGTATAACAACGCTATCTCGTCCCTGCACAGCTGCATGGTTTGCTGCTAGTCAGACTCTAGCCGGACAGAGTGGGGGGGTAAGAAAGGCTCGAAATTTAGTACAGAGC